CAACAGGCCCAAACAAATTAAATAAAGTAATATTGATCATAAAACTAATTTAAAAGGTTACATCATGGCTGCACCCACGTCACATGTAAAAGTTTATAGTGTTTTTCCCCAATACTAATTTCAGCACTAGAAAAATTGCAATAACTGATTCAGTTTGATCTGAAACATCTTATGGGATTCCTTAATAACCATATTAATATTATTATCTTTTCAGTCTAATGCACAAACCAGAGCTTTTCGGTAAGATAATGAGTTACAGATCTGGTTGGTCAATTCAGACCATATCAAAGATCTATTGGAACTCCCATGTGCCCCAATATGACATTCCAGGTTCGGCCATTCACTATCAGCCCACATGGGCTGTTGGCTGATTGTGCTGAAATCACTATGGAAAAACACTACGACACTCTACACATGTTCAGATATGGTAACCGGTCAAGGCTAAAAGAAATGAATTCATAGTCACAAGGCAACAATTTACAAAAGGGATTCAACTGAAATATAACTATGTTAATGGTGGATTTAACTGGCCCATTAACATAGGGTCCAGACGACAACAAATTTAAAGTAATTAATAACACAAAAGGTTTGACTACCAGCGACAAGAGTGAATCCTAATGCAGCCATGATAACTAGGTTACATACCAGCAGTAAGAGATAAAAGATGAGCTATGGTCTGGTAGGACCGGCTCTAATACCACTTGAAAACCAATAGTATTAAAAGGATTTGAACCTAATTGTCCAGATCTCAGAAATACCAAGGATGATCGGATATGGTTCAAATGAGAACCAGTCCGATACATATAACTCTGTTTCTATTTATCAGAATAAGCAAACAAATACAGAAAATTATCTTACCTCCTCCAATAACCATAATCACGAAATTGATTTATTGTTTGATGAGAGATCCAACCAAATCAGTGATCCTGCATTCACGTTCTTAATCAACAAAGAACAGATCTCTCGTACGCCCTCTATGCACAAGTATGGAGTTTTTTTTTTCTTTTTCAAGTATCTCTTTCTCCTCTCAAGTCTAACTCCTCTAGAGCTTTCACGTTCAAGAAAGTGATAGTGATAGGGGCCTCCTTGAACGTTCCCTTTCATTTTTCTTCTCACCTCTTAATTAGTTCATCCTATCATGAGCTTTCCAATTTAGTTGACAAAAAACTCTCTCCAAATCCCATCACCTCTCCTAAATTTTCTCCACCATTCAATTAAATTTGACATTAAAAATCAAATTTAAACACACCCCTACAATTAGGGGGTGATTGTGGAAGGTTTCCAACTCATTCCCAACAAACTAACGTTGGGATCCTTAAAATGGTAATGACCTAAATTATGGCCATTATTGAGGGCCACAATCCGAGTCATTCTTACATGCCAGAGTTTTTTGTTGTAGATGAGGGCGAGTTATGTTAGCTATGCCATGATTAGGATGAACCATATTGGGTTAGACTGAGTTAGGTTGAGTCAGACTGGGCTGAACCGTTTGCTCATCATGTGGAAGGCAATCAATGTTGTCAGAAGTGGTATAACCAACCCTGAATTGGTGAAAGGTATTGATTCATTCAGTATGACTGGGAAAAGATTTTCATGGAAGACAACATCACGTGAGGTGAAGATTTGTCGAGAATCCAATTCAAATATTTTGTAAGCATTTTATCCAAATGGATATCCGACAAGTACTCCTTTGATTGCACGAGCGGTAAACTTGTTGTGGGTATAATTGTGGTTTTTGGAATAGACCAAGCAACCGAATACACAAATATGTTCATATGTTGGTGGTCGATTAAACAACAACTCGAAAGGTATCTTGCCCCCGAGTACTTGAGTTGGGAGGTAATTGATCAAATATGTCGCTATAGTCACACGCTCTCCCCAAAAAGAAAGAGGGTGGCTTGCTTGGAAGCGAAGTGCACGAGCTATTTTAAGCAAACGTCTATGATTGCGTTCGACTACACCATTTTGTTGCGGTGTGTCAACGCAACAATGTTGATGAACATTTCCTTGTTGTAGCAAAAAGCTTTTCATGGGATGTGTAAAAATTTCAATCTATTATCTGTCTACATGACTTGTACAGAACATTGAAATTGTGTTTTGACCATATTGCAGAACTGAGAAAAATAGTAAAGAACTTGAGCTTGACTATGCATCAAATACAACCAAGTGCTACAAAAAAAGTCATCTACTATGGTAAGAAAATATCGTGCACCACTATAAATAGAATAACCGCCCCAGATGTCAACATGAACTAGATGAAATAGTTTCGTTTCTCAAGAGTTGCTTATGGGAAATGGCATACACGACTGCTTTGCACGATGACAAGTGTCACATGGCAATCCTGTAGGAAGAGTAGAAATGCCATGAACTAATGAAAGAGAATGTCGAGAAGCATGACCCAAGTGCTTGTGCCATGTATTACCAGTAACTTCACTATGAGCAATTAAAGCAGAGGAACATGGAGTTTCAACAGTAAAGTGGTAAATTTTGTTCAATGCTTCACCCATTCCAATCACTTTCTTTGACATTGGGTCCTGAATTAGACAACTAGTTGGCAAGAAAAGGGCAATACATTGCAATTGATTAGTTGATTTGTTAATAGAGATCAAATTGTAGTTGAAACCAAGGATATGGAGAACCTCATGAATAGTAATATCGGGGATTAGCATAACTCACCCTTGATGTGTAGCTTGCAAAACTACTCCATTGGGCAAGCGAAATAGCTTAGGTTGGGCCAATACATTGTGAATAGTAAGGAGTTTCAGATCAAGACCATATGATCTGAAGCTCCGCTATCCATGAAGGTTGATTGGGAAAGGTAACGAGAGCCTTACCAGAGGCATTGGCCGCGATGTTATCTGGTGTTATGAGAGCCATAAGCCGATTCTCTTATTACAGGTTTAATCCTTGTATGGGGGATGCTTCATCATTCTGTGCACTGACTGAAGCAAATGCGGCTTTTGTTCCTTTGCCCTGTGCTTGTGTTTTACCTTTGTTTCAGTTTGGTGGATATCCGACAAGTTCAAAGTAACGATCTCGTGTATGCCTATGTTTCTTGTAGTGTTCACACTTCACCTTAGGCTTAGTTTGGGTATTAGACATCGAACGGTTCTTGAAAAAATTTGCAAAGAGTGATGCTCTGGCATCAATATCTATATTGGTCGGTGTGTTGACGACGACAGAGTGTTTCTCTTCCTGGACTACAAGAGCGTATGCCCTATTGATGTTTGGCACAAGATCCGATCCAAGAAAATTGGATCTAACATTGTTGAAGACATTATTAAGTCCCATGAGAAACTTATGCAGCTTCTCATCTTCTCGCATGACCACAAATTGTTTAGTTGTTCCACAAGTGCATTTAGGTACAACAACCAACATTTAGAGCTCGTCTCATAGGGCTTTCAATTTGGTGAAGTAGGCTGCCACCGATAGACTTCCTTGTTGTAGTTTTGCAAGGTTTTTTCTTAAGCTGGTAGGTTCTTGGCGCATTCTTCTGCAAGAACCTCTCTTCAACTTCTTTCCAGATTTCACTGGCCATGTCTGCATAGACAAAACTGTCATGGAGTTCATGTGCCAATGAATTGAAAATCCAAGAAATGACCATCAAATTGCATTTAATCCAAAGCGGTTCTTACAATGACCCTACATCGGACTTCGACAGTGTGAACCATCAACAAAACAATAATTGTTCTTGGCTCTTAAGGCATTTCTCATCGCATGCTGCCAGGTTGGGTAGGTATCTCCATTGAGTGGACAAGACACCAATAGAGTCCCTACATTATCTGAGGTGTGCAAGTTCAACTCCATTGCAAGAAATCCAGACGGAAGAACAAGATACAAAAGCCCAAAATGGCTCTGATACCATATAAAACAGTATAAAATTCACAGAAAACGGCAAAGCATAGTTTGCACAGAAGAAAAAAAAAATTATCTCATTTATTCTTAACTCGTCAAATCACATGTATAAAACAGATGCGATGAGGTCTTTAGGGAAAAAAACACATGGTGAATGTCTTTGGGTTGCCAGCCTGATTTTCTGGAATGTTCGAGCTTTCTATAATAGAAATTTGTTCTGTTAACATTCTCTCTCCTCTCATTCCTTAGCAACCGCATCCATTCTCTCTAGACCTTCGGAGTAATACGAACCATCACTATACTGGAGCCTGTTGGCTTACAAAATAAATAATTAAATAAATTGTATTATCAACACTCTTTTGGTTCAAATTAATCCATTTGGTCATCCATCCACCCTGCCCCTTGGTTTTATGAACCAACTATTATTTGGCCAAAGAATTCTACTAGTCTTATCTTACTAACTCAGCTCACTGAGGATGTATTTACGTATGTTAATTGACTATTTTTTCTTGGTTTCTAGATTTCCATGTATTCCAGAGTTCAGAGCATGGATGTAAGGAGTTCAAATCAACCCCCCACAACGTTCCAGTACATTCTCACCGTGTATTGAAAACATTTCCCGATAATAATACCCGGTATAGATGTTCCCAATATATGGCGGAGATGTATTGTGGGACATTGTGGGGAGCTGATTCGGTATCGGATGTAAGCTAGTTATTAGAATTTAGAACCTGCCACCTTGCACAGTTGCATCTTATAGTTTCCATGATGGTTGATGGCCCTCTAGTCTAAAGTTGATACAGCTTAGCTTGTTTGTACTCCTTACAGCTCGTCTCTATTATTTCACATCTTGCACAATTCTACAAAATCCCACAACAGAACAGTAGTGGGTACTTTAATTTTATTAATTTTTCAGAGTTGTCTCCAACGAGGACTAGGAGCTGTATTAATCTCACCCCATTCCTTCGCTTGTTTTTATGTCGCTTTAGCTGACACCAGTCCATTTGGCTTATGGACCCCCAGATCAAATCCGATCCTTGTTTTATTGTTCATTCTCAATAATATTTAATTATCCTTCTGAAACTGCATGGTAATTAAGTAACGCAGTGTTGCTTTTCCTTATTATAAAAGGCTTATAAGGGCTTCTGGGTTTACTACGAGGGAGAGAAGTCATGGGTCATAAAGGAGGTGCCTCTCTTCTTCTTCATCAGTACTTGATATTTCTTTCATTTCCTGTCATCTTTCTTCCTCTCTTTGCTCATTCTCAGTGCAACGGCCGGAACCCGGTTGTTTTAAACTTCGGTGATTCAAACTCGGATACCGGTGGATTTGCTGTCGGACTGGGTCTCCCCATCCGCCCACCCAATGGCCGAACCTTCTTCCATGGATCCTCTAACCGATTAAGCGACGGGCGGTTAGTGATTGATTTCCTTTGTAAGTTGTACTGATTCCCATCTTCCTCTCCTCAAATGGTATTCAATTTCGATCAGTTTCTTGCTATGCGTGGGTGATCAATTTCTCTCCTCTCATATATCCAGCTGATCATGGCTTTATTTCTTGGGAATTATCTATCGTCTATTCTTGCATTATTTAGAGCCCAAGCCTTAGTTATTAAGGTTGTGTTTGTCTTTGGTGTAAATATTTATCGATATAAAAATACATTGATGGATTTCAACACCGATTAGTTTAAATGAGTGACGAACCATTGTAAAATAAAAAGTGTGATTATCGATATAAATATTTACATTGTTCATATTGATGTTTTATTTACATTGTAAAACTCTAGAATGAATGAAGTTGTATCAATTTTTAATATAAAATTATACTCAATCCACCGTATTTACACAAAAAACAAATCCTGATATCTTTTATGTTTGATGGTTTTCTTTAATTTGCAGCAACCTGTTTAGCTAGCTACCAATATCCTGTACTTTGATATATACAATTTCTTTAATTTACTGTCATATAACGGCATGGCTCAGCCTTCAACCTCAAGTAGATATCCGGTGACTCGATAGTTGTGTTCAGTGTTCAAAGTTGATGCTCTGCTACACTAGCTCCTCGTCCTCTCTCCTGTTTGTTAATTAGTGGGCCTCCCAGTGAAATGAGACATCTCTTCTGAGGAACAAAGTCATGAGCTAGATATCGAAAAAACAGTTGCTATATCAAGTAAAGCAGGAAACAATGTGGGCCGCAGTTCTTTGGCTCTTTCAGCAATTTGGCCACCCATCCATGATCCATGCACCACGCCGATCGAGTCACCGACACTAAAAAACAATGACTGACTATTCATTTCTTATAGATAAGCGTGTTGTCCAATCCAAAACCAATCTAGACGGATTGGACGAATAAGACATATTGAATTGGACCAGATCCAGATACTGATCCATTTGTTATGAATTTTTATTGGGTTGGGTTGGATTGATGTAATATCTGGTCCATTGATATAAGATAAGAATATAAATGTTAATGGACCGGATTTAAATTGAAACCAATCTAAATTAAAACAAATTTGAACAGATTGAACGGTCTAGACATTAAATTGGATCGATCCAAAATATTTATTAAATTAAATTGGACCTGATCTAATGAATTCATATTGGATTGGATTGAATTGGACCAAATTCAGTACCCAATTGACACTTCTACTTAGATGGTTGACCAGTACTTTTGACTCGGCTTGGTTATTGCCTGGTCAGGACTCAGGAGCAATGGAGTTGATTTGGGGACTAGAGTACTTAGTGCTCACGACAATTGCAATGAAGATCTTCATATAGAAATTAAAGAAAGAATATTGTTTCATTATTTAGTTGATAATGGTTAAAAGGATTCACTGCAGAATTAATATATTTCAAATTCATTATTGTTTCTTCAGGTGAAAGCTTGAATATGAGTTACTTGACCCCGTACCTGGAATCATTAGAGCCCAATTTCAGAAATGGTGCGAACTTTGCAATAAGTGGCTCGTCAACTCTACCTAAATTTGTTCCTTTTTCTCTGGACATTCAAGTTCTGCAATTCCTTCGGTTTCAAGCTCGCTCCCTCCAACTTCTATCACAAGGTAAGTCGTCATCATCATCATCTAGGCTTTATCACAAGTCCCAACTATATGGTGTCGGCTATCAAGGCATTGAGTATGAATGCTTAATTTGTGTGGCTGTGGCTGTGACAAGTAAAACATAATAATGGCTTCATCCAATTAATACTGTTGTATGACTCAAATCAGACCAGACGGTCGAACCATAAAGGTTAGGAATAGTTAGGACTTCAGCATTTCTAGGGTTTTTAACGGGTTCGGTATGCAGTCTTTCAATTGTATTTTTTTATAATACATTTTGAAAATCTAAGAATAAGAAATTTAATTTGAAATTTGGTCTATGGGTTTTAAGGTGTCACATCTTGCATGATAAAGGAAGAAAAACAGACAAACATGAAAAGAAATGGGTTAAATACTCTGCAACCTAATGCAGAATTCTGAATGACAGAACCCCATAGTAGCCTCTCATATAAATCACATCCTGCCCATGAATTAGGCATCAATTCACAGTCAGGATTCATCCCCCTGTACCATGGGTTATAAAATTCTGACTTCGACTGATCAGTCATTCTTCCAAAACAAATCAAACCAAATTGCAAGAATATTACCCTCTATATATGTAGGGTATTATGAATTTAAGACCTAGCAGGATGGGCCAGCAAAACATGAAACCCAGTTTGGAATAAAAAAAATAAAACCCTAACCCCAACCATACACCCAAATAAACTTGACCCTAACCCAATCTTATAGGGTTGGGACAGGTTGGATTTACCATTTAACTCAACCTATTGACATCCTTATATTCTAGGTCTTGTTCAAATATGTTAAATGATGGTTTTCACAAGTTGAATGGGCTACGGCGGAGGCCGAATCAGCCCCAATAAGACTGCCCCCACAACGTTCCACAGCACATCTCCATTGTGTATTGGAAACATCTTTCAATGATGACATCATTATTCCTGGTATTATCATCAGGAGATATTCTAAACACATGGCAAGGATGTGCTGTGGGACGTTGTGGGGGACTGATTTGAACTCACTACGCCCGGCTAACTAGTAAAACTGTGACTAATTGAGCATTCCAGTTTTCAATCTGGTCCAAGTCTTACAACACTGGCCTCATTTGAAGGAAATGATGCTTATCCTTTTTTTTTTGTTAGGAGAAATGGGTATGCATTCCTGATATCCTAAGATGATGACCCCATTCACATAGTTTATTTAGAAATTGGAAAAGCCCACAATGACAAGTCATTAAAAGATTTAATATTTAAAAAGAAAAACAACTACTAAGTGGTGGGAAGTTCTAAATATCGATATACTTGATACGCTGGTAAGGGCATTTCAGACGGTATCGATACTGTTTTTTTAATTGTATTATATTTTTTTTCAAAACCAGCTCAGGGGGTGGTTTAAGGCTCCTCTGTCTCTGAATCAGTCAGAATTCCGATGCACCCTCTGTAGGGGCATATCGGAGAGCTCCCGATATAATACGTATAGGTCGATAAGTATCGATTTTTTGAACCTTAAACCGTAAACAGTCATGCGAAGAATGTTAACCACAAAAGTAAGGATTGATCAGTGATGTTTCAAAGGAAAATAATGACTTAAATACAGAGTGGGTGATAGAGAATAGTAAAAGAATTATAAATTTAAAAATGTCTAAAAGATGGTCCAAATTCGAAGGTCGATAAGGAAGAATAAGAGTTAATTTTGCTGGTATGTAGAGTGATTTTTGTTCCTGATGCATCAATAAAGCTTTCTTTTTCTTGAAAAAAAAAATATGCATTTCCTTTAGTTTAAGAATAATATAACTCGTTATCGTGTTTCTTCTTTTGTTCAACAGTTGGTCTGTATTTTCATGGTTGATTTGTTTGATCCTTTTTGTTTTTCCTGATTTTATGCTGAGCATTTATGAATTGATCTTGCCTGCTGGTGCGTAAAAGAAAACAAAAGATTATTAATGGTGATAGGTCCTATACTATCATTAATTATTTTTGGCTTGTTCCTACCATCGTCTCAACTATATATATATAATGAAAACGGGCCGTCTAAGTAGCTCTCCATCCATGAAATTTGATTTAGGTTCAAGAGGTTTGGTGGATGAAGAGGGGTTCCGGAATGCACTCTACACATTGGACATCGGACAGAATGATCTAGTCGCTTCATTCACTTACCTCTCTTATGCAGAAATCATCAAGAGGATTCCTTCTTTTCTTGAGGAAATTAAAAGTGCCATTTGGGTGAGTAATTCATACATATATCTTTTAGCCTCTATCTTTATTTCTCTTGATAATTTATTTAGAAAATATTTATAATGCCAGAAAGATATGGTATCATAAGAGTTTTGATCAGTCAAAACCCACACATGAATTTTGATAAATAATATCTGATTGACTATCACGTTTTTTATTCCAGTTGATTAGTCAGATGTTTTTCGAATACATCTTTTTGATATCATAGTGAACCCATTTATTTATTCCATGGATAAGAAAATCAGACTGAAGTGGATGGTTGGACTGGTTGACCCAGGAATTGGCCAGACAACGGGTTCTGTTTCACTCTAAAATCATTTCTGGGCCAAAAACCATTGATTTGGTCAATGACCCGCTGACCTGGGCAATTGATCCATCGACCTAGATAATGATTTTTGACCATTTTTTATTTTAATTATTTTTTAAATCAAAACAGACCATTTATTCAAATCAGATTATGGAACCATTCCACTCGAGAACCAATCCCAAAAATAGGGTCTAGTTTCTAAAACCTTGATTTATTCATGATTATTCAATTCTTCTCTCTATAGTATTAATTTCAATGAAATGCAGAGTATTTATCTACATGGTGGAAAGAATTTTTGGATACACAATACGGGTCCCTTGGGATGTTTGCCACAAATGCTTTCCATAACAAGCAGAAACGTCAGTGGCCTGGATCCGTATGGTTGCCTTCAGTCTCCTAACGATGCTGCAAAAGTCTTTAATGAAGGCTTAAGAGCTCTTTGTGAAGAACTGAGATCCCAAATGAAGAATGCCACCATTGTCTACGTAGATATTTATTCCATCAAGTACGATCTCATCGCCAATTCCACCAAATATGGTGAGCTATTCATTCTCTCTCACTCTCTCTTTTTTTTTTTTTTTTTTTTTTTTTTTTTCAAAACAAACACAAATTTTATGATTTTTTTTTTTTTTTTCTAAATTAAACCACCCAATGTAATTAATTTATATATACATATACAGGTTTTCAGCATCCATTGATGGTTTGCTGTGGCTATGGTGGGCCACCATACAACTTCAACCCTAACGTGACATGCGGTCAAACTGGCTACAACATCTGTGAGGAAGGATCAAAATACATAAGCTGGGATGGCACACACTACACTGAAGCTGCAAATGAAATAGTTGCATCCAAAATACTCTCCGCCAATTATTCTATACCTAACCTCAAATTCGATTACTTTTGTCACACCTCATAAATCATCCACATCAATTGAATCATCTTCTCTCTCTTTATCAATAAAAACAACTATTATGCAATTGTTTTTGAAATGAAGGCAAAATACCCTTATTTTAGAATTTGTCTTTACTATAATTATGAGGATAAAAATGTAATTTAAACTATTACTTTTTACTTCATTCAACCTCTTTATTAAGTCTCATATTTGAGATATTAACTCCAGTGCTCTCTCATGAAATCTTATATTTAAAATATTATTATTTCTTACCAATAAATTCTACAAACTAGATATGTATGATGTATCCAATACTTCTAACAATATAAAACCCATGTTTTGTAAAATCAATTCGAAAATGAAATTATTTTTACATCCATGTGGCGGGTGAGCAATTCAATGGTGGAATCCCAATATTAATATTTTTATATTTATTTATATTTAATTTTAAAAAATTATTATCTAATTTTGATATTATGGGTTGGCCCAAATGGTTGAATTGCTTATCCGCCACATGGACGTAAAAATAATTTCATTTTCGAATTGATTCTACAAAGCATGGGTTTTATAATGTTAGAAGTATTGGATACATCATACATATCTAGTTTGTAGAGTTTATTGGTAAGAAATAATAATATTTTAAATATAGGATTTCATGAAAGAGCATTGGAGTTAATATCTTAAATATGCGACTTAATGAGGGGGTTGGATGAGGTAAAAGGTAATAGTTCAAATTACATTTTTGTCATCATAATTATAGAGAAGGCAAGTTCTAAAATAAAGGTATTTTAGTCATAAAAAGTTTCACAAGCTCATCCAATAATCATTCACACTAAGAGCTCCAATGCCACATGAAATGGAAACATTTTATATTTAACTTTTCATGTCATGACATTCTGAGCTAGCATAGAAAGTTTTCATCTAAAACTAAACCATTTTAGATTTTTACTTAAGATTGGAAATGAATTGATTTCTCTCCAAATCCTAAAATGAAATCCTTTCTACATTTTCCATTTTATATGGTGGTGAGTTTAAGCATTCAAATTTAATGAGTGTAAACAATACAGATACTTTTATTTATCATATATGCCATTGGAACTTGTATAGAAATTTGAGCATCTATGAAGCTTCATGAGAGAACAAAGTGTATGTTTGGCATCGATGTCATTGCTCCAGAAAACAATGACACATTAGCGTCATGTCAGAAAAAAATAGTGCTCCAGGAAACGCTTGTTTCTTTGGAACCGCTTTTCCATAAAAAAATGGTGCTCCAGCCATGTCTTGGAAATCAAGAAGGCATGGTTTGGAGCAACATCGAATTTGGCATTTTTTTCATATTGCAGCTCGTTGCTGCCAACGAGGACGTGATGTGGCAATGACGTGGACTTCCTATAATAGGTACCAGTGCTGAAAACAAACATGGAGCCCTGGTACCAAACAAAAAGTGTTGCTATTGCTCTAAGAAACATCCTACCTGGCAAAAACGTTTGCAAACAGAAAAAATACACCATTTTCTCAGAAAACGGTGCTTTCAACCCACACATCAGCAGCCCCATTTTCTAAAAAAACGGTATTGTATTTGCAACATAGATGCCAAACATATACAAAGAGAAATTTGAGCAAGCTGAGGTGTCCCACCGATTAAGTAAAACTAAAAGAAATTTGAGCAAACTTAACCATTAAGTGGCCACCTTCTTTTTTTGATGTCTAGTCTAGAAGTAGTAGCTCTTACGCTTTTTATGCTTAACAAGGCTATGCATTTTTTTTTCATATAGAGATAAATAGAAAGTTGAAAGAAAGTTCGTAAGGCTCAATTTGGAAAGACCATAGATACACATACATACAAAATAATATAAGACATAAAGTTAGAAAGTTGAAGGAAAGTTCTCAAGGCTCAGTTTGAAAAAAGTACAAATAATACAAAACATACAAATTGAGCCTAAAATAATACAAAACATACAAAACATACAAAACATACAAATACATACAAAATAATACAAAATATAAAGTTTTGCATTTGTACTCCTTCCGAACTGAGCCTAAAATAATTTTACAAAATTCCTAAAATCATGCAAATTCAGGAAAATATAAATAAAATTTAAAAAGAGTCAAACCTCTAATTTTCTTTTTTCTTCATTTTTTGCAATAATTTTCGTTTATTCACGAATAAATTGTATAGGTCACTATAATGTTGGGTATTAAAATGTGTAAAGGTTGTCGTAATTAGGAATGATAGGGCTACGTTTGAGAATTTTGAGGAGCTCACATAGATAAGAAGAGCCGATAACATCCCATTTCTAACCAAAATAGGGCTGTGAACAAATTGGTCTGGTTTGGAATAGCCTGATCCAGACCCAAATTAATTATTAATAGGGATAATATCATAGACCTAAAACTGTCCCAATTATTAATGGGATAATCGGGTCAAACATGAAGGATCCAAAAAATACAATAAAATGCTTAACAAAACACTTGCAAACAATTTGAGAATAAACTTGCGCATCACCTTCAAATACTCTATTTTTGCCTTGAGAATACATTGTGTTATAGTGATAAAACACAGTATCCTAGAGTCGTAGTACCCTGTTTCACACTACACAACCTAAGTGCGAAAAGGCATGTTCCAAGCCAACTCAAATCTCAATCAAACTCAAAATAGCAATAACAATAAACAACAGATAGTTGAGCAGCATCAAAGCAAGAAGAAACAAACACACAACACCAATTTGTAGCATGGAAAACTTCTCTATTGTGAAGAGAAAAAACCACAAGGCACCAACTTAGAAAAATCTCTACTAACAACAACAATGAGATTATAACGTGTTCTACTCTAGCAACAATTAGGGAGCATTCTTTTTCTAGATTTTGAGAGGGGGGAAAGTTCAGTTAGTCAATTGGATTTTGGTTCCCATTGATCAAGAATCTCATGTTTCTTTTTTTTTCAGATTTATGTGGGGATTAGGGAAAGTTTATTGTACTACTTACCCGAGTAAGTGATACCCATTTCCTAAGTGGATAAATAACTTACCCACCTGGGGGAAAATTGCCAACACTTGAATGGGACAAAAATGTCCCTTTTAATAATAGATTTTTATGACTAAAATGGTCATTGCCTTATTTACATGAAAAATAAAAGAACATGGATAAATGCACCCAGATAAATCCTTCCTTGGAAACACTTACCCGGGTAAGTAACTTACCGAAAAGCGAACAGGGCTTTAGAGGATACTCCTCTTGCTCAAACTCAAATTTTCACCAAAATGGTATTTTACATATAATAAAATAAGAATAAATCTTTTCACTTTAAAGAAAGAACGAACAATAACTCTCGAAATCCTTCTTGAAAATGAATGATGGCATAAACTTTGCACACAACAACTTCTCAACTTCTTCTTGCTTGAATCCCTACAAGAGAACCCTAACTTTAAGAGTCCAAGAGTCACCCAACGTGTGAGAGTTGAGATGAGAGGATGAGAGTGTTTTAATTTCTTAACAACTCTTTTAATTCCTTAACACAGTATGGCGCATCTAATTATTACGAGACTAATGGCAGGTGCAGCATATACAAACCTATTATTCCTTTGGTTTTAGAAGACTTCAATTTTCACTGGAATTTTCAGAGAATAACTACAAAAGGTTAAGAAGTTGAAGTTTCATTAGGCTTTCGGTATAATTGCAGGACATGAGCAAAAAGACAATCTCACTGGCATTTCAAAAAAGACCTTTAGATCCAAAAGACGTTACTGGGGTCATATACCTTTGTCTAAAGGTGTTTATGAGACATTGTACCCTCCATAGTTCGAGTTTGGATTTACTCTTCACAGAATTGGTTCTGAGACCCACTTCATAACTCATGCAGCTGCACATTAGGAATTTCTCCATACAAGTATGTTTTTATTCACAGAAAAATGTTTTTCATGCACAATCAATTCTGTGAAGAGGAAATCCAAATTATTGTAACTTGAGCAAGAAGACATTTGGGTCTAAAAGTAGGGGTGGATTCGAGCTGGGCCAAACATCTCTATTAGGTTTGGTTGGAATTGAATTTCTCCCTCTATATCTCCCTGTTAAGTTTGAGCAAAATCTTTCTTGAATTTAATATAAAGCCTAAAACTTTCACATTATCCCAAAAGTATCACAGGTAAAAGTAGCAAAGTGGCCTCCTCCTCCCCCACTGAGAGAGAGAGAAAGCTGATAGGCATTTGTTAACTGTGAATTACATCTCTCATGAATGATAATATACAAGTATGGGAGATGTTTTTAATGCATAACTGAGATGCGCTCTATGCAAATCCGGATTCGTAATTCTAGTTTGTCATCCATGCAGCCTCGTTGGTTTGGAGTTTGGCTGGAACTCTTGCTTGGTTGAATAGACATTTTCTTCATTAAAAATTAAGAGGTATATTTTGTGATTATTAATATACCTTATTAGTTTTTGTATATTTGGTCAAGCATATGCATAAGCATCATTGCTACCAGATGAAGATTATCTTGAGAGTATTTATACAATTAATTACTATCACCTATTCACAACATGGTTTTATGATTTAGTGTGCTTTCTTAGGTCAGATCCATGTTCTTTGATAAAATCATTGAAAAAGAACCATTCAACCTAAAAGTTTAAGTTGTTAGATAAGGTCCTTGAATAGGTTGATATTCTCTAACACTCCCCCTTACACGAAATTAAGCCCATTGGTCTTGAAGCGTGAATAAGCACAGGCCCACTCATACCTTATGTTGGGTCAAAATGGCTCTGATACCATCTCAAAGAACCATTCAACCTAAAAGCTTAAACTGTTAGGTTAGGTCCTTGAATATGTTGATATTCTCTAACACTTTGAAAAGTAAAGGAGTAGCAATGGACCAGCTCCAAAAGAAATGCTTTACTGTATTACATAGAAATTGTATACCTTTGTAAACTACTGTATACACTAATAGTTGTAGTAAAACCTACGAGTTACTGATATAAAAAAGACAAGAGAAACAACTTTCAAAAGAACCACCGTTAGTTTAGTGGTACCACTAAACTACTATCAGACAAC